GCGTAATGGATCTTAGAATACGAGCGGATTTCCTACTAAAAAAATACATTATGAAGAAGGTTGCGCTGGACCACACGCACTTCGTACGATACCTAATGTACTGGATGATCTTAGCAGGAGCTTGGACGTGTACGCGTTGGCGGTAGCTGGTGGAAGCAAGCGTGATGGCGATGACCAGCTGATTGGGGTGCAGCCTGCGGTCGAGTGGAGGATTAGTGAAACGATAGCAGCCTCTGGAGGTCGGCCCGGTTCCATCCCCTGAGAGGCCAGATTGAAGTATGGCCGCGTGGACGAGCGATTTGCTGAGTACTGCACAGACGGTTCGAAGAGGCCATGTGCAATAGCGGTTGGAGCAGCTGCGGTGAGAAAAGAAACTAACAATGGTTGAACTGAAATAACTGTGAGCGTCGATGCGAGAGCGACGATTTTTACCGCGGAGACAATTGCGATATCGCGTGCCCTCGATCATTATAACTCGTCCGATTGTACCGATAGACTGATGGTATACAGCGACTCGGCCAGTGTACTGAAAGTGCTGGATAAAGAAAATAAAATAAAAATTTAAATAAAGTCAAGGCTCGAAAGCGCGGTGTGTGGTTGTTGAGAATTTTAACTACATTAAAAGATATTTATAGAAAAAAGAACTTACCATGTGATGGAGGTGTGTCAACTAAATCGGTTCCGGTGGTCTTCGTGTGGGTGCTCGCCCATCGTGGTATCCAAGGCAACGAGAGAGCAGACGAAACGGCCAAGGGAGCGACCGAGAGGGAACCGAAGCCTGAGGTGGTGATCCCAGTAGAGGACCTTATAGTCAATGCTCTTAAAAATGCGTGGAGTGCGGCTGCGAGCAAACTCCGGGGTGAGGCGTCGTTCAAGGGCCATAGATACTTCACTGAGTATGACTCCAACGAAAATGCGAGGAGACCATGGTTCAGACGCTTCAAGGAGCAAAAGAGAGACACGATCTCGTTGCTAAGCAGGCTGAGGGCCAACCATTTTAATCTAGGCGAGTCGCTTGCACGCAAACATATTATACACGATTCTACCTGCGACTGCGGAGAAGCGGAGGAAGATCTGTACCATGTTTTGTGGGAATGCAGTAGGTATGATGGTTTAAGGGGGTAGACACGGGTAATGCAGCGAGGTGACATTACCGGCAAAAATGGGCCTATTAATGGGTTTACGAGAATCGGTTATTTGTCCTTATATGAGAACACATAGGGCTGGGTGAGGGCACATTCGAAAGAGGAAGGTCCAATGCAGGGCGGCCAACTCATGGTTTAACGAGATTGAGTCCATATTTAATAATATCAGTGTCCAAAGTACAAGAAAAAATCGACAAAATACAGTTCCGGAATCGAAGCACTTTTAGGCCACTAAAAGAGTTTTGTGACTCAAACGGTGAGTTGACTGCCCTGCATTGAACCTTCCTCTTTCGAATGAGCCCTTATTCAGCTCAGGACGAATAACCGATTCCCGTAAAAGCATTCCCAAAGACGAGTTCCGCCATTATCTGGATACTACAGAGCAAGTCACGTGACAAATTTAGTTCAGCTAGTAGTTATAAGGTGGCGTCTAAGTAGAAACGCTGCCGATCTGGAATCGTAGCCAGAATCAAGCGTCAGCCTGATTACGTCACTCGAACTGTGCTGCGAATGCAAGCGAAAAAGGCAACAACGCCCGAACGCTGAGTGAGACGCACTACAGTCATGCTGTCCTTCTCTCATTCTGAATGTTGAGATTGTCCCTTTTCGCCAGGTTTTGACTGCCGCCCGCCTGGATTTTTCACAGCACCCCATAACAAACCTCGCCCCATTCAAACTATATCGTGTTTGGTATCATTTTAATCAGAAAAATTTCACCAATGCGCTAGTAAAAGTTTCAGTAAAAAAAAGTCAAAAATAAAAAAGTTTTATAATTGAAACAGTATTAGTCACACCGATACGTTTCGGCTCTTTCCTTTGATCATTGGGCCTCTCTCTCTCTCCTCCACTGTCTGTCCCTTTCTACGTTCACGCTTGGCTGGCCATCGCATGTAATCCGAGATTCGCCACCTCGGCTGGATATATGCAACGTCTGGGTTCCAATCTTTGTTGCATATATGTAGTCAACTTTTACTGTATAGACGCGAGGACCCTCCATTTATTAGTTCTGATAGTACCATAGTACTTGTTTATGCTGAATGTTTCAAGGAGTTGACACAAGTAAAAAAAAAATGCAATACCATTTAAATAAAAAGTAGATTTGTATCTTTTGAGTGCATCGTTGCATTCACGAAGAAAATGAAATCACAGAAAAATAGACATTATCATACCATTGAACCTTTACATAAACAGCTTTTTCCTATCTCTTACCAAATTCAAGATATAACCCGTCCCAATTGCATGACGTATCCTGTATACTTTTATTAATTAAAAAACATTTATTTAAAGAGTTAATAACTTTTTCTAACAAATTTCTCAGATTGCACGTTCCTTCGGTTCTTCAGAGTAGGCATATATTTTTCAGCAGCGAGGGGTGCTACGGTGCGCTATATAAAATCCACGCGTTCAGTCAGTCAGAATTTATCGGAGCGGGACAATTCTATCATTTGGGTTGAAAGAAGGATAGCACGATCACCGTACATCTCACTCTAAACACGCGCCAATGTTTCGCTTTCGTTCTTCAGGCGTATCGTCGCGATGCCTCTGGCGAGATGAACGTTTGAATGTGTTTGTAAAAATACTTGAGGCGCTGTTGCCTTCCTAGATCGTGTTGCGCGCACGCTAGCTGAGAATTAAACCTTTCAAGTTCATACCAGACCAGGCAAGTGGCTCCACCAGGCCCAACGAAAAAACTGCTGTAATACCGACGTCCCAAATCGGCGAGGTCACGTGCCGTGTCTACCCCCTTAAGCCTCGTACTGACTTGTGCATTTTGCCCAAACTGAAATTTCTCCGGCTATTCGCGCAAACCTTTCTACGTGGGGTACCGTAAACCTTTCTATTTGGGTTCTTTCTACCGTAAACCAGTCGAAGTCAGAATATCGTCAGGAACAGATGTCACGATCGCCAGTGCAGCGTATATTGTTATGAATACAATAATTAAAAGAAAAAGATAAACGATGGTGGATTAGTCAAATATATAAAAATAGAGCAACCTCTAGTGATGAAAATCTAATTAGAGATTTACAGGTAAAAGCTAGTGGACATTTTAAAAATTTTGTGCGGATGTCGTCAGAAGATTTTGAATTTTTAATAAATGCTATTGGCCCCAAAATACAAAAAAACGACACCAGATTTAGAAAAGCTGTGACGGTGAAAGAACGCTTAGCGATAACGCTACGTTTTTTAACAACGGGAGATTCATATACGAGTCTTCAATATTTGTTTAAAGTGTCCAAACAATTAATATCAACAATTGCACATGTCGGATTTCAAAAATCAGTTTATGACGGTTCATCAGGCCATATCATAAACTGAGTTTTTCCGAAAGGTAAATTCCACAGCGGTCAACTAACGGTACTTGGAAATTTGTAACCGGCACAGTAAAATTGTTCGCACGAATATCCTTTGATGGACCGACAGCCGTCGGAAAGCGTTCGTTTGTGCCCAGGGCCTTCGCGAACACATAATGGGCCGTTTTCGGCGCACGAATGCTCTAGTGAGTACAACGCTACAGCCGTCGAAAAGCATTCATTCGTGCTCTGGGCCTTCGCGAACACATTAACGGACCGTACTCACATGAGCATTTTTGCCCAAACGAACGTTTTCGGCACACGAATGCTCAGGTCAGTACGAGGCTTCACATACATAAAGGCGCTAGGGGATTGGCAGACTTGCCAACCACTGAAGCGCGTGGTCGTCAGTGTTCGTTGAGCAGGAAGGGAAGGGACGGAGAATCCCTAAAGAACGCCACCCTTATCATACTTGAAAGGGGAAATGTATGTATGTATGTATATACATATGTACTTAATGCGCGTCTCGTTATCATGCTGTTCAGTTTTCTCACAGAGAAAAAAATTTCGATGTTATGTAAAAAAGTATCGATAATCGATTAATTGATTTACAGAAACATTGACAAAAATAATCGATTATTAGGAAAAAAACTATCGATATTTAATTAATCGAAACATATTGCCCATCCCTAGCTTGGAGGGTCTGGGCGTGGTAAAACAGGCCCCCCAAACTCCCGTATTTAATGCTGTAACTAAAATTAGTTCACCCCCGGACTTCCAGGCGGCGCTGGTGTCGCTACAAACACATAGAAATGATATCAGTGAGATACGCACACAAGCATATGCTCCCTATATACATGTGCATAGTCTTACCTATTCAAAACTTTGAAAAATAAAAATAATGAAAGGGAGTAAGTTCAGTGCGGGAACTGCTGATGTTGTTAATCTTTTTCTCACGAAGTATTTTTCTTCAAAATAGCTGTTACAGATCATCCAGAAATTCAGTTTTCAAGTGGAAGCACTGACTTTGGGTTACCACGTACTTCCACCCACTGCTCCATCCTCTTCTTATCCTTTTTCTCTTGAGTGAAGGAGAACATCCTTTAAAGATACATTTTAATAATTAAAATTAAATACATATATTACTAAAACACCAATGTAAACAGTTACTGTTTTCAGTAACAATTTTAAACAATTCTGTACTTACTTAATTTCTATCTTCTTCTGCTGCATCTCATCAGTAGAAGTTATTAAAAACCTAAAAACCTAGAAAAAATTTTAAAAAATATCTTTTTAAATAATAATAATAGTAATTATTATAATAATGGAATTCACGAACCTGGAAATTCAGTCACCCACGCTGTCACCATGTGCAACCATGTGCGCCATAATTCTTTTGTCTCTTTAAATTTTGAAACAATTGAAAAAGCGGCGACAAATTTCGCGGGAACATGACGTCACGATATCTTTAGTTGTGTATGTTAAAATCAGTGATACAAGCTATGCATGTAGAGAAGCGACATCAGCGCCGCCTGGAAGTCCGGGGGTGAGTTAAAATTTGCATCAAATTCACAAGAGTGGAGCTTGGAGGGCCTGTGGTAAAATGATTCGTGAACAAGATCTGACATGCGTAAAATGAAAAAACATATGTATTAACCTCAGTTATTAAGAAAACTGATGTTTCAAAATATGTGTGATTGAAATACATTTTCAAACAAAATTTTGGTGTATTATGTAAACAAATATAATATTTGTCTTATAAAATCATCAATGTAATATATCAAACACTCAACTAAAAATTGTAACAAGAATAGCTAAAGGACAAATTTGAATATTAAAGCAGACAATTCTAAAAGTTACAACAGAATGCTTTTGGCAATACCTATGCCACCAAAAAATTTCTCGGTTAATGTTATAAGGTATATCTCAAATATTAAAAATAAATTTTTTAAGTTGTTAATAGTCGATTATAATTTATTTATATAGTCTTGAAGGAAATGTTACAGATGTGGCTGTAAATTCAGATTTCACAATAGAAAAAATTAAAATAAATGTAATAAAGCATTTTTATGGTCATGATACAGCAAAAACATCGTCTCAGTTCCGTTTAATTCATTTATCCAAGTTTAAACAACTTACAGATAGATGTAGCGTGAATGATGAAGAAATCAATGAACATGGTAAAACTATAATCAACTAAACATTTTATATATAAAAATAAAAGGAATTTTATTCATTGTAGATGAATTAATATTAACAAAAATTCGTCCTGTATCAAAAGAAAATTTATCTGAAGATACCTTAAAAGGTCCAAGCGAAGAAGTAATATTACAAGCAACAAATGATCTACCTATATTTAATCCACATCATCATGTTTCATCTATTTATTGTTCTGTAGATGTAAATATATTTATATACATATATTTATATTATTCTTTTCATATAAAGAGAATTTGTATTGCAGAAATATTGTAGTTTCAGAATGAAATACGGAAAATTTTAATAACTCTTGTAAAAGCATCAGCGAAAATTTTAACGTATAGTTCAAAAGTAAACAAGTTCTGTGAAATTTTAAAAGAAAAATTAGAAATAAAATGTAAACCTACTATTGATCCAAATATTGTAAAAGTTCTAATGGAAATGGGTTACTCTCATCAAAGAGTCATAAAAGCTCTTTGTTTACGAAAGTACATAATATTATTCAGTGGTAATAATTTAAAAACAACGTTTTATAGAAAAACTTTAATTTTATTTTAGATCAAATATATCAGAAGCATTGGAGTGGTTAATAGAACATCAAGACGATTCAGATGATGATAATGATAATAGTGATGATAATGATTTAGGCATTTTAACTGAAAGAGATAATGATAATGTTGTAGCAGGTTCCAGTTTATCTGATAATACGAAAAGAAGATCTTTGAAGGAAATGTGTATTGAACTATTTAAAGGAGGTAATTACTTAGAAGTTGTAAAAGTTATAAACACATTTGTAAGACAATCAAAAAAACAATGATTTTTTGATAATATGAAAAATTCTATCAACTATTTGAAAATTTAATACTGAATTATTTTAGAAATGATATTTAGTATTTAAAATCTTTTCAAGGCATTAATATTAGGAAATTTTTATTTGTAATTTCATAATCATGAATTTTTATTAATTGTATTTTATAATTACATTTATATAAAATATTAATCACATAGAAAATCAAGGGTTGCAGAAACAAGAAAATTTGATTAATATAGTAGATCTTCTACTAGAAAGTTTTCATTTTTATAAAAAAATGGATTTCAAACCTAATTCTAAAACAGTGCAATCACTTCTAGAAATGGGATTTGATGAAAAAGGTATTATTAATGCACTAAAAGTTACTGGAAACAATCAAATTAATGCTGTAAGTGCCATGATTTTAATTCAGTAGTTGTATTTTAAATTCAGAATCTATTATTATTTTCAGTGTGAATGGTTGCTCGGAGAACGAAGACATAGTTTACAAGATTTAAATGAAGGATTTGACTCTGAGAATCCAATTTTCAAAGCGATTATGAGCAACTCGCATATTCAACTAAGTCTTACCAATCCTAAAATGTTGCTTGGTAAAATTAATTACTTTTATTAATTGTATAAAAATTATAGCAAAAATGTAATATTTAATATAAATTTGATTTTTAGTGTATTTATCTATACTAGAAACCCCAGTTTCTATAAATATGTGGTTGAGCGATCCTGAAGTGTCACCTATACTTAATCAAATCATTAAAACATATCATGCTGAAAAACATGCAATTCATATAAATCAGTATATAAATAACTAATATTATTATCACAAAAAATGAAATTGTCTTATTATAAATTTATAATAAAAAGTTCTAGAAATATTTATAATAATATAGTTTTTTATTAATTATGTTAATAAAATTATTATATATCTAATAAATTTTGTTGATACTTTATAAAATATGGCTTTTATTGTTATAGTAGATATATAATATGATATGATATAGAATTATTCAAAATACATATATATATATAAAATGCAAAGTCGTCGTACTTTAATTTTTTTTATAACTGTTAAAAAATATCATTATTAGCTCTTACGTATGTAAATGTATACACGCACATATATATATATGTATATAAAAATCTGAATATTGCTTGTTACTTTAAAACGGAAAGCATATTACTTAGTTGAAAAAAGCAATTTGTATTATAACGTTTATCGTGGTGTCGGTTTAACATTTAAGATATAATAGTGCAAGAAGTATTGAAATTAAATCGTGTTTTCTAAGAATGGTTTATTATTTTACAAGCGAAGGTATTCTTATTTATTGTTCGCTTTATATTTATTGTATATATCAATTGTAACTCTTGTATGGTGATAATAAAAATAATAGCATTTAATAAGGTTAGAATAATGTTCATAATTTTAAATTACAGTTATTCAACCACCAGTAACATTATTTATGGGAGTTGATAAATATGAAAGTAAGTTAAAAATATGAAAATTTATCATAATGTTTAAAAACACCCGTAATTCATAGGTTTTAAAGTATGCGATTTTATAGATGAAGACCTTATAAAATGGGGTTGGCCAGAGGATATTTGGTTTCATGTGGATAAATACTCATCAGCACACGTATATTTGCGTCTCAATTTTGTAAACATTTTTCATTATAAATATATGTATTATTACACATATATTAGTATTCACACATAGATGTATTTATAGGGACAAACAATAGATGACATACCAAGTGCAATTTTAGAAGATGCTGCACAATTAGTAAAAGCAAACAGTATTGAAGGAAATAAAATGAATGATGTTGATGTGGTATATACAATGTGGTCTAATTTAAAAAAAACTCAGGGTATGGAAGTAGGTCAAGTTGGTTTTCACAAAGATAAAGATGTTCGTAAGATTCATGTTGCAAAACGAATAAATACTATTGTTAATCGATTGAATAAAACTAAGCGTATAGAAGAAGTGAATTTTAGAGCAGAAAGAGAAAAACGAGACCAAATTGAACGAGAAGATAAAAAGAAACTTTTAAGGGAACAAAAGGAAAAGGAAAAAGCTGAAGAAAAACGACGAAAGGAAGAGGCAGAAATGAGGCAAGTAAACATTTATTTTATTATCAAAAAGTATTCTTAAGAGTAGTATTATTTTGTACTTTTTTAGGAGTTACAATTCCTTATTCAGTACCTGTAATATGACATCAAATGCAGAGAACAGTGGATATGACTCGGATGATTTTATGTGATGAAATTACTGATGTTTATCATAGTTTGAAACAACAGAAAAGTGTTTCTGAAACAGACAAATCTTGCAATTTAAAAGTTTAGTTTTTCATAATTTATAGCAGACAATTACAAATTCAAATATAATATCACTGAAATATGTGAATATATTAATATGATGTCAGTAGTATTGAATGAGATAAATTTGAGATATTACTGACTTTCTTTCTTTTTTTATTACAAGTTATTTCATTTCTTCTTTTGAATAAAATGGTGTATTCTCTAACATTCTCTTAGAATATGCTTTGTACTAGATTTTGAGAAACATATTTTCAACTCTTGTAATTTCATCAATTTTGTTCAAATTAAATTCAGGCTATCAAAAAATATTTCTAAGATATTGTATTTTACAACAATTGTGAAATTTCGAGATACACTTACCTGCTTGAGAAACAATCAAATTTAGTGATTCCCTACAACATTATTTAATGATGTTAATACTGTTGTTAATTTTAAACTTTTTTTAAACAAGTAAAATGCATACATAGTTATTGACGTTGCTAGAACTTTTTTGTGGGGGGGGGGGGTGGGGGCAAATCCCTTAGCGTTTCTAACAGTGTCAAGTGTTTAATATTATTTAATCCGAACCTGATTTTAGAGATGGGTTACTCGAAACATCGAAATCCAAGAAAGTTTCGAAAATTTGAAATTTATATTTTTGAATGATTTGAAACCCTCGAAGCCCAGATTAGAAAAAGTAAGTGTAAAATCATTTAATAAAAAACCTCCCGCAGTATCAATAAAGAATATTATTATTAAAATAAAATGAAATACAGGATTGCCTCGTAATAAGCAACACGCTCGGGTCTGGCCTGTTGCTTATTACGGATCAGGTAGGCTATTCGGCTCGACTTTGTTCTCGAAACGGGACGATAGAGAACACGAGAAACGAGTGAGAGATCCGAGGTAGCGGCAAATCATAAAGTGATCGGCCGAGCAAGGATGTTATGTATTGAACAAGGATAGAATATAGCATGCCCTCTCATTCTCGCACTATTTCGCTTATTTCAAGGCAAATCTGCTAGACTGAGAAAACATTATACAGGGTGTCCCAGAACTGGGGTAGGAACGGAAGAGGGATGATTGGTGAGGTCATTCTAAACAACTTTTTCCTTTGCCAAAATGTTGGTTAAGGCTTCGTTTTCGAGTTATTAACGAAAAACACTGGCCAATCAGAGCGGGCCGAACCACGAGAGTGTTGGGTATGTTCCGCGCGGTCGTGATCAAGTGCCTCGGCACTACGTCGGTATGATGGGATTCGTTGAGTAGAAGTTGCATCGGATAATGAATAAAAAAAAGAAAAGAATAATTGTATCGAATTATTGATTACTCATGAACAACGAATTCTATTACACCGACGTGGTGCCGATGCACTTGATCACGACCGCGCGGAACATACCCAACACTCTCGTGGTTCGGCCCGCGCTAACGGCGCGCTCTGATTGGCCAGTGTTTTTCGATAATAACTCGAAAACGAAGCCTTAACCAACATTTTGGCAAAGGAAAAAGTTGTTTAGAATGACCTCACCAATCATCCCTCTTCCGTTCCTACCCCAGTTCTGGGACACCCTGTATATATTCCATCCTTCTACTAACCGATGTCACTGCTCAGTCGAGCGTGACAATTTATTACCCAAAACATCGGCTTCTCGCTTTCACGGAACTCTCACTTTGCGGGCGACATTAAACGAAAAGGTGGGGATAGAGATTTGCTTATTTCGAGCCGGAAAACTGTTGCTTATTACGGATCAATACTGTGTACCGACAATTTCCTATCAAAAAGAAAAAAAAACAGTTTTAACCAGTTTAATGGTTCAATTATTTTGTTCATAATTTTAGGTAACAAGAACAATATCGTGTATCTTGTTTTCAGTTGCTTCACTTATTGCATTTCGTCCAAAACATTTATTTTTATTAAGTTACAATTTTACAAGAAAATTTTAGAATTTCAGAACCTTAGATTTTTAGAATTTTAGAATGGTGAGAGGACCTAGTCTCATCCTGGCCCCTGTCTACTTAGTTATGTCAATGTACATAGTATAAGGTATAAATATTTATTTTATACTAATCATTAGTGTTTTATCATTAAGCATTAAAATATATACAAATGTGTATAATTTAATTCTGTAAAATACATGTACAACAAAATAAGAAATATACAATATGTACTTGTGAAGTGGTTATTGCTTGGAACTGAGCTTGGCCACTTTTTGAGGTAGGTTTATTTCAGGAATTCTTCTGTCATTACCTTCCCTCGTTTGTATATACAAGATTTTGAAAAGATAGTGACCAATACTTCTCTACTTCATGTTGCATGGGCATTACTAAGAAACCTAATCATAAAGTTAATTAAAAGTAATGTAATGCTGGAGTTTCATTGGACATTGCTAATCTGTATTTACAGCTAATATGATGTAAAGAATCACTTCTATAAGGTATAACTATTAAATTTTTAACGATTACTTGACTAAACACTTACACTTGTCATAACAGATTAACGTTAACAGCTTTAAGGACATCAATTATCCACGAAGGATATTTTTTGTCTGGATATATATTTAACATATACTCTTGTATAAATTCTGGAAATCTTTGTTCGTTGATACTTTGTCTAATATTTTGCATTAACTTCATTTGAAATGCAATATTATGAACAGACAATAAATGGCATGCAGCAGTTTCTACTGTCACAATATGATGAAGATAGGCTCGTGTATATGTTTTACATGTATTACAGTCACACGATTCATCTATCGGTCTTGTATCTTTACAATATTGAATTTGTTTTAGGTTCAATTGTCCTGTTTGCACCAATGCACAGCCAAATCTCTGAAAAAATATATACACAATAAATGATTTATTTATGAAACTCTATGAGAATTTGTATAGATTGAATTTGAATTTTATAATTACTGCAGTTCTTGTAGGAAACACGCAATCAAACATATCTATTCCCAAAGCAGAACAAATAATTAAATCAATGGCAAATCCAACACCCATTAAATAACGTGGTTTATTTTTTGGAAGTATATTTGTAGTAAGGTGTACCATTTTCCAAAACTCATCTTTACTTTCTCCGCCACTAGGAACAATCAATAATAAAATAATTTCTTTTCCTTTTTTTTGCACAGAATATCGTATGAATCATTACCTTAAGCCACCCACAGCATAACCATTTACTTTACGCTTAATCAATTGATTTGCACTGTCAGATCTAAGTTTGGCATCAAGACCTCCTTGTACAATAGGAAATATACTTTGATCGTTTGCCCTTTTGTGAGCCGTTAAACATCTGTCTAACCATCTACTTGTTCTAAAATTAAATACCAGATATTAAAAAATGAATTAATAAGACAGCTAATAGGGTTATGCAAGAAACACAACACATAAGTACCTATGCATTGCTTCTTCTACTCTGGGCCCTTTTAATGTACTCTTAACTACATCATCAAGTTGCATAATTATATCTGCACCTATTATATTTTGTATTTGTATCGAGTGCTCAGGGGTCAACATACAATCCGATTCTAAAAGATAGCATAAAAATCATTGATCTTTTTCTATTATTTCCATTAGTGTAACTAGGATTTTAATCTGGGCTAGGTCCCTTATCTTTATTAACAGTATCAACTGTTTAATATTGTCTAATTTAAACTTATTTTCAATATTGTTTACTTCTTTTTATTCACAATTTCACGTAATAAGAACCTTACTGTACGTTTAGAATCTTAAAATGTTAGTATATACTTTTTTAAAAATTTGAAATTCAACAATTTGAAACATTGTGACTCTAAAATTTTTGAATTCTTGAATTTTATGACTATAAAATGTACACATTTCTAGGGGGAAGAAGGTAGATCTACTCTGGCTGTTACCTAGTTACATCAATGGTTGTTTCTAATGAAATATACATTTTTCTGAAATCTTGGATACCATTATATGGTGATTTAAATTTAACACCTTCTTCTGTAATTTCCGCTAGCTCTAATAATGATACCATTTGAAAACCACCTGAATCAGTCAGTAAAGCTCTTTTCCAATTCATGAAATTATGTAATCCTCCAGCTTTTCGCATAACATTAAGACCCTACAAAATAATTACTTTTTTATTAATTTAGTTAACTTGTTGAAGTAATTTAAATTAATTAATTTCCATAATAAAAATTACTCGATTCTAATAATTATATACAATTTTTACTATAAATTAAATAAAAATAATTTTAATAATAACCTACAGGTCTTGTTCCTAAGTGATACGTATTTCCAAGAATAATTTGACAATTCAGTTGTTCTAGTTGCTGAGGTAATAAACCTTTCAATGTGCCCTATAATAATATTAATATTGAACTTTAAAAGATACTAAATAAATTTTGAATAATGTAACTTACTTGGGTTCCTACAGGCATAAATACAGGTGTATCCACGCAATGATGAATGAGAGTTATTTTTCCAGTTCTAGCTTTTGTTGTTTGACATTCATGAAATATTTCAAAAAATAATGCTGGTTTTACGCTATTTGCCATTTTTTGAAACTAATAAAATCAAAAACAAATGATCTGTATTGTATATCACCTTTTTATGTTGAAATAATCATTTAGTATGAATATAAAAATATTTGTGATATCATTTTATTCAGTAAATTAAGTTTCTATGAAGTACTTTGTTGATTTTATAAAAAATTATACCACAGTAATACATTGGATTAATCTTACCTCACTTTATATTAAAAAATTATCAACAAGTATTTTTGTTTAATTATATCCTCATAGCTGTATGAATATATGTATATATGTACTTACAAATATAAATATAACTATTGTTTATAAAGTTTATTTTATTAAGTCAGAAACTGTATTTTTTTGTAATTATTAAATAAACTACACTTTAAAGTTAAAATATAATATATATCAATTTAATTCATCATATAACCTGCTTATTAGTATTTAAGCGATTATTATCATCACCGCTTATCACGTTATCACACTCCATAAGTATACTTCACTGAAGTGCAGTGTGGCAGTGATCAGCAGTGATGCCAGAACCGTGGGACGTGGGACAAATTTTTACCCTCTCCACCACGTCCCACGACGTCCCAGTGATTCCCCTACCGCAGTTGTTTCATCTAACACAAGCGCGTTGTCCCACGTGTCCGTGTGAGCTCTCTGCGGGTTTGGCAGAGTTCGGCTGCTCTCGTCATTTCTACGTTATCGGCTCGATGCTCAAGCCGCTAAAGCACGAGGCAGCAGCATCGACGAATCGACAAAATAACATAATTTCGTGCATGGCAATATGGCTGAATTAAGAAACCAGGAGAATCAGTTCGAATCCCGAATTTACGGTTTCAGTTCTGATTCTTAATACATTAACGTTTTTCTAATACATAAAAATACATTTTTGATACATTAATACTATGAAATACATTAACTTGGAAAGCAGTTAAAAAAAGGAGTTGAACTGCATCTTTCTTTGATATTTTTTTTAATATTTAAGTTTTATATATATACATATGTATGTACGTACATATGATAAAAGTACGTGATACAGAAGTAATTTCTTCAATTAGATATTACTGTTATTCTAACTATTACAATACGTAAATTCGAAGACATACGAGGAAAATTGGTTAGGTTAAATTGTAAGGATATAAAGAAATTTCAATCTTTAACGGTTTGTCAGTTTTATTTCTTATTCCTTACAACTATTATAATTTTATTCTCTGAATGATCATTACAATGAAAGATGGATTAGATACAATTGGATTCCTCATTTAATTTGTTATATACATATCAGGTTTCTTGCAACTATTGCACCTGGTCCACGCTTATACAATATTGCATATTTTACTTTCCTATAATACAACCAAGGAAACAAAACTATAATATAGTGATTACGATAATACAATAGAAAATATTAAGCTTGGTATAAACCTTGTTTTTTTTGTGTACTTAATCTGCAGTTACGCTTCGTTGCTTTATAATGACTGATTTTTCTTTTGAATGAAACTTCCACTAGCGTATTGATGAAATTTTTCGATTAAAACAAGATCAAACACGACATAATTTGAATTATAGTTACTTTATATATTTGCATTAGGTTTTAAATAAATAAGTAAATATAATGCAAATTATGTCGTGTTTGGTCTTATTTTGATCAGAAGAACCTTCCAATTACATTGGTAAAAGTTTCATTTAGCAAAAATGAAAAATAAAAAAGTTATGGTTAAATTAATATTGTCTCACTCAAATGTTTTTTCTCGGGCCCTTTAATTCTCGGACCTCCTTCTCTTTCGCTATTTGTCTTTTTCTACGTTCGCCAGCATTCAAGAACTCGCTCGAGCTGTGACGTTCTGCCAGCCTCGCACACTTTCAGGAGAATCGGGAAAATCCAGCATAATAACACATTCTATGCTGAAAGAATATACTAAGTTATCTGTCTAAAAAAATTTTAATAAATCTGACAACAGATTTATTTTCGGGATGCTTTTCTTAAGTAATCAGCATTTTACCAGTCTCCTGTACGGATCGGGTGTAGCAGTTTGTAGCAAACTCAACATATTTTCGATATTATGTAGAATACACAACCGATCAACAAATATTAAAAATCCAGGATATTTTGTGCCGCTTTTTATATGTCAAGGGCCATCGAAATGAAATAAAGTAAGACCAAATTAAAATAAGACCAAACACGACATAATTTGCATTATATTTACTTATTTATTTAAAACCTAATGCAAATATATAAAGTAACTATAATTCAAATTATGTCGTGTTTGATCTTGTTTTAATCGAAAAATTTCATCAATACGCTAGTGGAAGTTTCATTCAAAAGAAAAATCAGTCATTATAAAGCAACGAAGCGTAACTGCAGATTAAGTACACAAAAAAAACAAGGTTTATACCAAGCTTAATATTTTCTATTGTATTATCGTAATCACTATATTATAGTTTTGTTTCCTTGGTTGTATTATAGGAAAGTAAAATATGCAATATTGTATAAGCGTGGACCAGGTGCAATAGTTGCAAGAAACCTGATATGTATATAACAAATTAAATGAGGAATCAAGTTGTATCTAATCCAACTTTCATTGTAATGACCATTCAGAGAATAAAATTATAATAGTTGTAAGGAATAAGAAATAAAACTGACAAACCATTAAAGATTGAAATTTCTTTATATCCTTACAATTTAACCTAACCAATTTTCCTCGTATGTCTTCGAATTTACGTATTGTAATAGTTAGAATAACAGTAATATCTAATGGAAGAAATTACTTCTGTATCACGTACTTTTATCATATGTACGTACATACATATGTATATATATAAAACTTAAATATTAAAAACAATATCAAAGAAAGATGCAGTTCTCCTTTTTTTAACTGCTTTCCAAGTTAATGTGTTTCATAGTATTAATGTATCAAAAATGTATTTTTATGTATTAGAAAAACGTTAATGTATTAAGAATCAGAACTGAAACCGTAAAATCGGGATTCGAACTGATTCTCCTAGTTTCTTAATTCAGCCATATTGCCATGCACGAAATTATATTATTTTGTCGATTCGTCGATGCTGCTGCCACGTGCTTTAGCGGCTTGAGCATAGAGCCGATAACGTAGAAATGACGAGAGCAGCCGAACTCTGCCAAACCCGCAGAGAGCTCACACGGACACGTGGGACAACGCGCTTGTGTTAGATGAAACAACTGCGGTAGGGGAGTCACTGGGACGTCGTGGGACGTCGTGGAGAGGGTAAAGATCATTGATGCCAGGCCAGAACCGTGGGACGTGGGACAAATCAGACCTCCAAGCTCCACTCTTGTGAATTTGATGCAAATTTTAACTCACCCCCGGACTTCCAGGCGGCGCTGATGTCGCTTCTCTACATGCATAGCTTGTATCACTGATTTTAACATACACAACTAAAGATATCGTGACGTCATGTTCCCGCGAAATTTGTCGCCGCTTTTTCAATTGTTTCAAAATTTAAAGAGACAAAAGAATTATGGCGCACATGGTTGCACATGGTGACAGCGTGGGTGACTGAATTTCCAGGTTCGTGAATTCCATTATTATAATAATTACTATTATTATTATTTAAAAAGATATTTTTTAAAATTTTTTCTAGGTTTTTAGGTTTTTAATAACTTCTACTGATGAGATGCAGCAGAAGAAGATAGAAATTAAGTAAGTACAGAATTGTTTAAAATTGTTACTGAAAACAGTAACTGTTTACATTGGTGTTTTAGTAATATATGTATTTAATTTTAATTATTAAAATGTATCTTTAAAGGATGTTCTCCTTCACTCAAGAGAAAAAGGATAAGAAGAGGATGGCGCAGTGGATGGAAGTACGTGGTAACCCAAAGTCAGTGCTTCCACTTGAAAACTGAATTTCTGGATGATCTGTAACAGCTATTTTGAAGAAAAATACTTTGTGAGAAAAAGATTAACAACATCAGCAGTTCCCGCACTGAACTTACTTGGTAATAACTCTTATATAATTTTTATAACATATGTAAATAATTGTTAACGAAAATATTTATTACAGTGTCTGAGGCTGCCTTTATTAAAATAGAGCAACAAGACATCTGGATGCAAATGAAAAGAAGAAAAAGAAGAAGATTGTAAGTATCCAGTTTACATATACAATATATAAAAGCATTAACATGGTATTAATACACTGAGGTATACATAATAATACTTCTAGCATGAAGTGTATGTATAATATTATATAATTTTGTTCTTATAGTTAAACCTGACCACCAGGGGTCAGTAAAAGTAGTAAAAGTTTAATATATGGAAATGTATTATGGAAATTACTCCACATATATTGTTATAATTTTTTCCCTTTCATTATTTTTATTTTTCAAAGTTTTGAATGGGTAAGACTATGCACACGTATATAGGGAGCATATGCTTGTGTGCGTATCTCACTGATATAATTTCTATGTGTTTGTAGCGACACCAGCGCTACCTAGAATTCCGGGGGTGAACTAATTTTCGTTACAGTATTAAATACGGGAGTTTGGCCTGGGACAAATTTTTACCCTCTCCACGACGCACAGTGGCGAATTTGCCCGAATTCGTGGCCAAAATTAATATCTTGGTATCTGATGCAAATTAATGAAATAACTTACAGTATTATGGTTCTAGAATGATAATAATGTACTTTTTTAATAAAAAATATTAATTTCTTATACAATATGACTTTAAAATCATGTTTAAATTATTAGATTGAGTAGCATATCTTTTCTTTTTACATGGATTGATTTTTTAGACCATTCCACATGATGAAGTGTTAAATTTCAATATTAGAAGAAGGAAAAATGTACAATATAATACATATATACATTAATATACATGAAACAAATAATATTTACAGATAAGCATACATATATATATATATAGATTATTCCAAAATATTCTAAAAAAATTTATTCTAAATTGTTCTAAACATCATTCCCGTTCTTCTTCTTCTACTACTTCTTCTTCTTCTTCTTCTTCAAATTCATGAATATTTGGAATGTCGAAGAATTGAATAACATCTGGAGGATATGTTTTTCCTTTTTTCGGCCATACTTTCCTCGTACTGCTTATATATGGATCTGACGATACCAATAAATTGTGATAAATGTCCTCCATAGTTTTTATTCTGGAAAATTTTCTAGAATGATGCTCCCGAAATTTCTTAATATCTTTATTCCGGGACTCTTGAGCTTCTTCACCTAGTTGTCCGATTGGAAGGATTGCGTGTTTAATTATGTCTCCAGAATGAAATAATATTTTGTGGACAGTTGTGGGCATATTGTATCATGGATAAAGTGCCACAAATTTCTGTGCAGTATCGATGCAATACAGTTTAAAAGGTTCTATTTTTATTGGGTAGGTACTAGAAATAATGGCTAAAATAACATGAAATCGTTGTATTATTTCCTCATCCAATCCTGTGATGTTTGCAGAAGATGTAGAATTTGTGAAAAATCGGCGAGCGGTATTACCATCGTTGCTGGTACCAAATCCCGGTTTCGGTTTGTCCACAATCAAACCCATTTCAGTTCTGAAACGCTCCTGAATTCGTTTCTTATTTTCTAACACTTTCTTTTTATTTTCATCCCCACGAGCTTGCCACTGACGAATATTTAGCTTATATGATAAATGTAATAAACATTCGAAAAAGCGAATCCACGCATGTAATGGCGATATACCAAATTGTAATGCTGATTCGTTGTTAATAGTTTGATGCATTACTAAGTCTATATTATTAAAATCCTTACTAGTTAACATCAAGCAGGTAAAGCAGCGTACTCGCTACCCTATGCCATAAACGACCCGCTCCACGAACCATGCGGCCAGTAAACAAATGATAATAACTCATAAGGTCGCAAAAAGTCGCAGCTAAATGAAGCAGACAAAATGTTAAATGTAAAAAAGAACTCCAATGTCATAAATGTACCCATCGTCATATTGCCAAAACTATGTAACCGTAGGATTGAAAATACAAAACAGGTAGAAGACTGTATTCATCGCCTGTGGTATAAACATACCCTACTTATCAAATTGCTAGGCCCTTTTAACCGTAGGAATAAGAACATCAAGCAGGTAAAGCAGCGTACTCGCCATCCTATGCTATAAACGACCCGCTCCACGAACCGTGCGGCCAGTAAACAAATGATAATAACTCATAAGACCGCAAAAAGCCGCAGCTAAATGAAGCAGATACTTGTTCAGTAATCTTCAAGGTTTCATTTAAAAAAAAAATTACCGGTCGATCTTGGTCGATGGACAACTTTTTCATTAATCAAGTAGAAAAATGTATAGGTCTTGTATTTTTATCTATCGCACCTTTAATAATTAAGAAAACGTAATAACACTGGGATGTATATTAACTAAGAACATGCTAGTTTACATCAATACTGATAAACTAGCATCATAGCCCGATAATAAATCACTAAGCTACTTTTAAGGCGATGCGAGTGTCGAAAACTTTACCGACAGTCCCTAGAAAAATCCCTAGACGCGAGTTTTCGGTTTTCGTCGTCATTTCTAAACAGAATGCAAAAAAATTTGAGGGACGTGTCCAGAAGGCCCTAAAGAATGGCGCTGTGGTCCTTATTTTACCCAAATCGTCAAAAAGTTATAAAATATTGAAATTTGTGTCTGTCCACAGTCAAGAAAATGGCGGAACGGACTCACCTGCATTAATTTATTTGTAATATAAACATTTTTGCGAAACGAATGTCCAAATAGAGACCAGAGCGCCATTCTTTGGGTCGGATAGAGCAAAACGAGCACCCAGGGGATGGTGTACAAGCTTTCGTTTAGACGAAAACCGAAAACTACGATTTCGTTGATTTTTCACTCGCGAAAGACGTCAAAAAGGTAAAACAGACCACAAATTTAGCTGCGAGTGCCTCTACACTGACGATTTCCTTTAGAAGGATAAACTAACCTTAGACATTCGATTTATAGGAATTCAGAGTATAATATCGGGACATATAAAAAAAATAACTTTAGACATTCGATTTGTACGAATATTCTTCCCTTGGTTATGTTAGATTACAAAAAATGTATATATAACATTTGCCTGAAGGAGTTAGGTCATTCATATATTTCATAGGTCATGTGTACAATATCGTATTTTATATTTTGTCTGTTACGTATGTACATAATATAGTTATCGCAGCATCCGTGTGTCATTTAGGTGTATGCGAACAGTGACGTAAATAGCATGCCGTTAGTTGGATGCGATAACTGAGGTGGCGCTGAAATCAGTTTCTGTTCGGCCAAATTTTCGATGAAACGTTGACTGTTTTACCAACGCGGAATTCGGAGTTCGGCCTCGACGCTCGCATCGCCTTAATTATGGTCGAAAAAACTGACGTTACAAAAATGCCAACTTTGAACTCGTATATCTCTAACAGAATTACATATAAAAGATTGACAATAGGAGGAAAATATGCTCTGATAATTCATAAATGAAATACGCTACGAAGATTTTTCAAATTCGCAAAAAAAATTTTTTCACTTTTGGCCACGATTTCGGGCAAATTCGCCACTGTGCGACGTCCCAGTGTCTCCCCTACTTCAGTTGCTTCATCTAACACAAGCATGTTGTCCCACGTGTCCGTGTGAGCTCTGCGGGTTCAGCTGCTCTCGTCATTTCTACGTTATCGGCTCGATGCTCAAACCACCAAAGCACGTGGCAGCAGCATCGACGAATCGATAAAATAATATAATTTCGTCCATGGCACTATGGTAGAAGTGAGAAACCATGAGAAACCAGGAGATTCAGTTCAAATCCCGATTCTACGGTATCAGGTGATGCGAGCGTCGAGGCCGAACTTCGAATTCCGCGTCGGTAAAACAGTCAACGTTTCATTGAAAATTAGGCCGAACAGAAACTGATAACAGCGCTACCTCAGTTATTGCATCCAACTAACGGCATGCTATTCTACGTCACTCTTCGCATACACCTAAATGACACACGGATGCTACGATAGCTATATTACGTTACAGCCAAAGTATAAAATACGATACTGCATACATGACCTAGGAAATGTATGAATGACCTAACTCCTTCAGCCAAATATTATATATACATTTCTTGTAATATAACATAACCAAGGGAAGAATATTCCTACAAATCGAATGCCTAAAGTTAGTTTTTTTAAAAATAATATGTCCCGATATTGTATTCCGAATTCCTTCAAATCGAATGCCTAAGGTTAGTTTTTTTAAAAATAATATGTCCCGCTATTGTGCTCCGAATTCCTACAAATCTTGCCCTTTCCGACCGAATAGGAGAATAGTAATGTATGCACTGTTAGAGCATAGGCTTATTAGCGAGCAATTAGTCCAAATTGTACCGTGTTTGGTATCATTTTACTCAGAAAAACGTCACAAATATCTTGGTAAAAGGTTTATAAAAAGAAATGAAAAATAACAAACTTCAGTCGTTGCATTAGTATTACCTCACTCATATATTCGATCCCAGATCATATTACACTACTCAACGAGCGAACTTCCCGGCATCTCAAGGAGTATACCCCCCAGTAGTGGGGATGAATTTTTCGTTTTCATAGAATCTTTACTATTGAATCAAATGCCTGGGCCTATAGAAAAAGGAGCGTCCGTAATTGCAGAAGAGAAATCTAAATTCCTGATTTTTTATATTAATTCGAAGTTTTTTATAAAAATACGTTAGCTCAAAATTTTTGTTCTTGCCGCGAATTCACAATGGGATTGAAAGCACTATCTGAATTATTTTCCCTTTATATCAATAATTTCTTGTACATTATTGCATTTTTTCATGTTTTCAATGATCTCGTGACATATGGGTTGAAAATCGCTATTGTAGTCGATAGAACGTCGCGTGGAAAAGAAATTCACGCGTCGAAGCCCATCGCTTCTTCCAGGCTCGAGCGTGTCGTTCTTCACGATACATTGTATCGTCGTCGACGTTTCGGTCAACGCACACATGTTCACATATACGAGCTGCGAATGAGCGCGCGGTCGAGCATAGAAAACGAATGAACTGCGCCCTACAGAATAAACGAGGAACTAAATTTCTGGTCTGTTTCACCTTTCTGACGTCTTTCGCGAATGAAGAATCAACGAAATCGTAGTTCTCAAATTACTTCTTCCTGGAGACTTATACATCATCCCTTGGGTGCTTATTTTATTCTATCTGACCCAAAGAATGGTAGTCCGGTACCCATTTGGACAAACTATTGGCAGAAATGTTTATATTACGAATAAATTGATGCTGGTGAGTCCGATCCGCCATTTTCTTGACGGTTGACACACATAAATTTCAATATTTTATAATTTTTTGACGATTTGGATAATATAAAGACCAGACTACCATTCTTTAGGGCCTCCTGGACATGTCCCTCAAATTTTTTTGCATTCTGTTTAGAAATGACGACATAATTTGAGAACTCGGGTCTAGGGATTTTTCTAGGGACTGTCGATAAAGTTTTCGACGCTCGCATTACCTTCAGAGTCGAAAACTTTACCGACGGTCCCTAGAAAAACAATCGTTTGTACCGTGCCGCGATACCTATTCTACGTTTGTACAAATCGTTTGTACCGTGCCGCGATACCTATTCTACGTTCGTACACAACATGCGACGTGTTGCATGTTGCATGTTGCGTGTTTGATGTATCTTTGGTGTACGGTGTGCCTTATACATATGTACAGTTTTATTATTATTTTAATAAATAAATATAATTCAAATCATATCGTGTTTGGTACCATTTTAATCAGAAAAATCTCACAAATGCGTTAGTAAATGTTTCATTAAGAAAAAGTTAAAAATAAAAAAGTTTTTTGATTGAATTAGTATTAGTCACACCGATACGTTTCGGCTCTTTCCTTTGATCATCGGACCTCTCTCTTTCTGCCACTGTCTGTCCTTTTCTACGTTCACGCTTGGCTTCTCGTCGCGTGTAACCCGAGATTCGACACCTCGACTGGATATATGCAACGCCTGGGTCCCAAAGTTTGTTGCATACAGTAAAAGCTGGATATATGCAACAAAGATTGGGACCCAGACGTTGCATATGTCCAGTCGAGGTATCGAATCTCGGGTTACACGCGACGAGCAGCCAAGCGTGAACGTAGAAAAGGACAGACAATGGCGCAAAGAGAGAGGTCCGATGATCAAAGGAAAGAGCCGAAACGTATCGGTGTGACTAATACTAATTGAATCAAAAAACTTTTTTATTTTTGACTCTTTTTTAATGAAACTTGTACTAGCGCATTGGTGAGATTTTTGTGATTAAAGTGGTACCAAACACAATATAGTTTGAATTATAATTACTTGCTAAAATTGATGTTAAAAGTTGGCGAAAAGCAAAGGACGATTGGAAATGAAAACCGGTTGCGGTGTCGGCTCGGGTTTCAAACGTTGCATATATCCAGCCGAGGTGTCGATTCTGGGCATTTAAACGTTGCATATATCCAGCCGAGGTGTCGATTCTGGGTATTTAATATTGCATATATCCAGCCGAGGTGTCGATTCTGGGCATTTAAACGTTGCATATATCCAGTCTTGGTATCGATTCTGTGTCCGTACAAATCGTTTGTACCGTGCCGCGTTACCTATTGTACGTTCGTACAAATCGTTTGTACCCTGCCGCGTCACCTATTCTACGTTCGTACACAACATGCAACGTGTTGCATGTTGCATGTTGCGTGTTTGATGTATCTTTGGTGTACGGCCTGCCTTGTACATATGTACAGTTTTATTATTATTTTAATAAATAAATATAATTCAAATTATATCGTGTTTGGTACCATTTTAATCAGAAAAATCTCACAAATGCGTTAGTAAAAGTTTCATTAAGAAAAAGTTAAAAACAAAAAAGTTTTATCGTTCAATTAGTATTAGTCACACCGATTACGGTCGGATCATATTACACGGTTTCCTCGCCGAGCGGCTCGGTTCGGCTTACGGGGATCCCCCCAAGTGGAGGGGATAGCGATGTTGCATATATCCAGCCAAACTTTTGTTGCATATATCCAGCTTTTACTGTATATCCAGCTTTTACTGTACACCGTTTGTAAACAGAGAGATATATAAAGCGCGGGGAATCATTCGAAACCCTGGGGCTATTCATCATCTCAAACATTTCACTCGTTTGCTTTGTCTAAGTTTATAAGAGAGCTTCTTTATGACTTTAACGATAATTCAACGTGACTAAGATCTAATTCGTCATGGGGTTCATTTTTATAAAATAAAAGAAGAGGCGTAAAATGAACAAGATTATCGCGTCTCATAAAAAGATTATCCTCTACATAATGTATAACAGGCAAAAGGGAAGGATCTACTGTAGGTCTATTTATTTCATTATCTAAATTATTGACCAATACTGTACTTCTACTATTTTCACCGCTCTCGACATTATTAAGATTTATAATCTTTATCTTTTTCTTTACAGAAACTGTTAACGAGGTCACAAATCCCCTTGGGAATCCCAGCCAACTTGTCCACGCTACCTGGTCTCCCTGCCAAGGCATTCCACAACATCAACCCTAGAACCATGCAAGCACGTATCCATGCGCGCTGGGCATTGTACAGGTAGAGCGCGCAAATGCACGTTGGTCTGCCCGACATAGCACGAATCATGGCACGCTGGGCAAATTAATGGCCCGTTCGGTTGGAAACATTTCACCGAGCCACACCCGCATGTAAGTCTGGGGTGGATTTCACGGTGGGTCCAGCACATCCACTAGCTGCGACCTCATCACACTCTCACCCGAAACCACTGTTCGAGGCGAGGACAAAACCACACAGTCACGGGGATCACACCCCTGCGCTGGCACAAGCTGCACCGGGACCACACAGGCACCCTCATGGGATGATCCCTTCAGAGATTTAAATAAACTTCCTGATGATACTGCTTCCAAATACAAAGTTCCTTGCACTTTGTTGGTGACCTCGTTTTATTTAGCCGCTGCCTTTCCACGCGCCAGGAATGCAGAGGCCACTAGCGACTCATTATTAACGAACTGCATTTCATCCATCCCGGCCGTTTCAGAACCTGCAACTGGTGTCCCACCTGCGCAGGCTAGCACCCTTTCCAGACACCGCGAACCGGGATTGGAATCCACGCTAGACCGTACGGTAAATGGTAGAGGATCTGAATTTATGCAGGTGTCTACGGGGTTCCGTGAAAGTGCGTCGGCATTGGCGTTAACCTTTCCAGGTTTGTACACTACAGTATAATCATACTCATTCAATCTAGTACGCCACCTCATAATTTTAGACGTTGGATCCCTGACACTGTGTAGCCAAACTAAAGGTCTATGGTCAGTAAGCAACGTAAATTGCCGGCCAAAAAGGTAAGGTCGAAAATGTTCCACTCCAAACAAAACTGCTAACAATTCTTTCTCGATTTCAAAGGATTTCCTTGAAGAAAATTTTCTTTTCAGAAATTGAAGGAAACTGGTGGTCACGATTCGAATTTATGAAGCGACGATCCCGGCGCACTCGACAATCCGCAGAAATATGCCCGGCCTTTCCACAGGTAAAACATTTGTGGTCCGCGTTTCCGCGATCAGAACTTTAGAATTTACATCAGAAACGTTTATGTTCTGAGAAGTCCGCGATGAATTTACGTGAGTCTCAATTTTTGATGCTAATTTAATTGCTGCTCTTAAATCTTTAACGTCATCATTAGAAAGAATACTCGCGACAACGTCGTTTCCCAATCCCCATAAAAATCCAGTCACCGCGCTCGTCATGAGCAATTTTTTAATGCCCCCAAATTCCTCTGAATTCAAATCTTCTTTCGCCGCCTGTACCCCGCGATCTAAAATATCATTTACCCGGAACCCATATTCTTCGATCGATTCGCTTTCATGACGGCGAACGGTCTTCAACTCATTTTGAGTATCATTTAAATTAAAACTTTGGGCGAACGTGGATTTGATCAGAGCTATCAACTCCTCCACAGTTTCCGGTTCGTCATCACCCACTATGCCCCTGTAAACCCGGTGTTGCATTCGATTCCGAATTATAGCGAGCAAAAGAGTTTTGTCCTCGGTTTTGGCTAAGGTGTCGGCAAGCCTAGATTGAGCAATAAAATGGTTTATTTGGGATGGCTTTCCATCAAAATGAGGAATAAAACCTTTTACTACGTCATATTGGGTACCCGTAAAGGTTTATGAAAGTTTAGGCGATGACGTGACCGCGTCCTTAGTCATATTGTCCTTGGAAGGTTGCAATGACTCTAAATTTAAAGTATTTATCGGATGTTCATTCGCATCCGAAGAGGAATTCAAAACATTAGAAGGTAATGGCCTAGGTGGAATCATTAGCGTGTTATTTGCCGTGCTGCTAGAAGAAACACATACGCCGCCCGGCTTACCCCAACTCTGTATTATAGACTGGGCAGGTACAAGAGATGACTCCTGTAATTGGGGTTTAAATCTTCCAATTGAGAAAGAAGACTCTATGCTGGGAGATTCTACTGAGCTTTCTTCCTCAAGTATAACGCTATCACCACGCAGACTATTTTTGCGACCCTTTCTCCTTCTGGCCCTTATTAGTTTCGTTAAAAACGGCGGCGTCTTATCGAATTAGAATTAACGATTACAACTAATATTCTATAGTTTAATTGCTTATATTCTAGACTTACAGTTCTGTCGCAACGATCAATTTATAATCCGTAAGAAGTCACTTAAAGTTTTGTTTAACTAATCCTTCTTTTACAGGTGTACGGCTCCATCCGTCGGCGACCCGTTGATCAGGTTGACCTCGGTTTATGGGAAAATCCCTTAGTACTCCAGCTCGATGGTCCCCAATTCAGCAACAGGTACTCTAATAAAATCCGTCCGCAGTCAGCTGCTTCAGGTAGGCCTCAGCTCCGTGAGCAGTCCGCTCAGGTCTCTGGATTTTATTTCGTCCTCTCTTATGCTCCAGGAATGAATCAACGATGACGTGGACGAGATGCGCGTGATTTCGGTGGATGGCTTGCACGGCAGCCGAAATCACCTGACTCCGGTATCTACCCTTCGCTCTTGGGGAAACCGTGCCAAAACCCAAGAGGGAGAAGTTGCACTAAACTTTGTCCACTTATTTATAATGTAACAGTTCAATAAAATAGTTTGTAGAATGTTTAATTAACTGTTTAATACACACCCGCGAGCTGATAAAGTAATTTAAGTGTACATAAGTTTGTCATAATCACTTTATTTAACTATTCAGTTATTTCACTGTTTGAAATTGTTTTCTCCGAATTATCACCTTTTAAATTGTCACCTTTTGAATGTTTATCACCTTTTAAATGTTTATCCCCACTTTTGAACTATCCCTTTTTTAAGTATCCCACCGCTGTCACCAAATATGTTGCGTGTCCGTTCGCGGAAAATAGGGATATTTGGGGAATTAAGGCGCAGGTATGACAATCCGTGGAGCGCCGAGGCGCTCCGCTCGCAAGGCGCGGATGAAAATAACAAACTCTAATTATCGGTTACTGTACTTTAATATTTTAAAGGTTTATTCAGGCTGACTGGTAACTTGTGTTTACAATTTATCGCGTGAGAAGGATTTGTCTAATTGACTGACAAAATCATTCTGACGATTCTGCGCTTGGCGAAGATCTTCGCGCGTTGTCGTTCGATGCCCCTTCGTTCGTGGATCCTGGATCCTCCCTCAGGATTATCCCTCGTCCAATGGTGGAGGAGTCCACTCCGTCCCGCGTAGGCCCCTTCTCCTGGTTATGGTCCACCCTCAGGCGCGTGGAAGTGGAGGCGCTCCGCCAAGACGCTAGAACGTTGCAGCGCACATGTGCTACGAGAAGGCGTGGGACCCAGAGAAATTAGGAAACGACAAGACCTTGTACTTGCCAAAGCAACTCTTAAGGAAATTTACGACCCTCTTAGAGTGTATGAAAAGACAGGATATCGAAAAAGACTTCGTAGTTTTTAAGGACCGTTCGTGACTTGGTCGAAAACAACGAATTGGCTATGGTCTATCATAAATTAGTCTTTTAGGAATTTTCGAAGTGAAACTATTCCATTCTCTGGACTTCCGGCCTTCTCTCAGCTTGATCACCCACGTCGAGGGGTTTACAATTTAATCTTTGTCTATTTATATAAGTGTACGCACAGATGATGTTTGAATTTCGCTCTTAATTTATGACCACCGATACAAAAGGTCCTCCAAGAACATTCAAGACATATCGATACAACAGACTATCGATAAATATTCCCATGGCAGTGTCGCCATAACACTCTAAACATATTCACGTGATAACGTTTCACGTTACAATACGATGGCGCATCGAACGCCAGCAACGCTGGTCGCTGGTCGCTACATCACTCCCCTCCGAGTGAGCTACAAATCTTTAACTCACGATTCTTATTTAAATCTTACTTGAATCTTACTTTCTTTGCATATGTCTTTGACTTGCTTTTTGTGGTGTCGTCAAGTGTACTCTCGCAAAACGCTGGCTTGAGCCTTTCGACAGAAACATTTATGTCTCTATCCTTATACCTAATTCTAAAAACGTGATCCGTAATCCGTTCTAGGACCTCAAATGGACCCTCATAAGGCGGTTCAAGGGATTTCCTTACTGTGTCTACCCGTACAAAAACATGCGAGCAGGAATGCAATGACTTGTGCACAAATGAATTAGGTTTCCCGTGATGCGAAATTGGACGAGGCTTAACTTGTCGAATATGCTGTCTGAATTTTTCTACAAAAATCTGCGGATCAATTTCTTCATCCGCATGTATAAAAAATTCTCCAGGCAGTCTGATCGGAGCACCATACAACATTTCGGCAGCAAACGCCTTTAAATCTTCCTTGTAACTGGCTCGGAGTCCCAGCAACACTGTCGGAAGAATTTCGACCCAATTTTTGGTCTCATGGCACATTATGGGAGCTTTTAATGACCGATGCCACCTTTCAATCATCCCATTTGGCTGAGGGTGGTACGTTGTTGTACGTGTCTTGGTACAACCGATTAATTTACTCAACGCTTGGAATATTTGTGACTCGAACTGCGTGCCTTGATCCGATGTGATTGTTGTTGGAGCTCCGAATCTCGCAATCCAGTTTGCATAATATGGCTGTTGCCACTTTATCTGCTGAACTATCCGTGAGCGGCACTGCTTCTGGCCACCTGGAGTATCTATCTATTATTGTTAAACAGTATTTATAATTATTAATTATTGATAATGATCCAACTAGATCGACATGGATATGTTCAAAACGTCCTTTGGGTACCTCGATTTTCTCAGGTATTGGCTTGCTGTGGCGATGAATCGTACTTTTCTGACACGCGATACAGGTACGGGACCACTCGGCTATTTCCCTATTCATTAGAGGCCAGACAAAACTTTTTCCTATCAACTTCCTAGTTGTTCTTCCGCTAGGATGTGATAGGTTGTGTACATTATTAAATATTCTTTTTCTCAAATCTTTCGGTACATAAGGTCTAATATTATTTTTGACAATGTCTCCATACAAGTATTTATCTGAACTTTCCAAAAATATTTTTTTTAAGTTCCACCTGCTGGAATTTTCCGATATAATTTTCGCCAGTTCTTCGTCTTTCGCTTGTGCCTGTATTAACTCCTCCGTAGAGATAATGACAGGCATTTCTATTACTTGCAGCCTGGAAAAAGCATCGGCCACCACATTTTCCTCACTGTCTACATGGACTATTTGGGTGGTAAATTGACCGATGTAATCCAGCTGCCTGATCTGTCGTGGACTGGCTTTGTTAGCTTTTTGCAGAAATGCATATACCAACGGCTTATGGTCCGTTAGTATACGCAATTTCCTGCCCTCCACAAAATGCCTGAAAATTTTGAGGCGCTTGTAGATGGCTAAAAGCTCTCTGTCGTACACGCTATAATTTAATTGAGCCTTTTCTAACTTCCTAGAGAAAAAACCAAGCGGCTCCCATGTACCATCAACAAACTGCTCTAAAACGGCCCCGATTGCCACGTCTGACGCGTCCGTGCGTAAGGTCAAAGGCGCGTTCTCTCTAGGGTGACATAATAATGATATTTGCCTTTTAGTTTCCTCGAAAGCTTTTTCCACTAGCCTGTTGTCTTTTTGTTTATCACCCTTGAGGTGCTTGTTCAGGGGAGCTAACCAGTCCGCTGCTCTGTGTAGAAATCTACGATAAAAACCTATAACACCCAAAAAACGGCGTAACTCGTTAATGGTTTTCGGTTTTTGATATTGCTGGATTGCCTTTACCCGTTCTTCCAACGGAGCAATTCCCTTGCTGTTACGAACTTGAAAGGTTTAATTCTCAGCTAGCGTGCGCGCAACACGATCTAGGAAGGCAACAGCGCCTCAAGTATTTTTACAGACACATTCAAACGCTCATCTCGCCAGAGGCATCGCCATAATACGCCTGAAGAACGAAAGCGAAACATTGGCGCGTGTTTAGAGTGAAATGTACGGTGATCATGCTATCCTTCTTTCAACCCAAATGATAGAATTGTCCCGCTCCGATAAATTCTGACTGACAAAACACGTGGATTTTATATAGCACACCGTAGCACCCCCCATTGCTGAAAAATATATGCCTACTCTGAAGAGCCGAAGGAACGTGCAATCTGAGAATTATTTTTAGAAAAAGTTATTAACTTCTTTAAATAAATGTTTTTTAATTAATAAAAGTATACAGGATATGTCATGCAATTGGGGCGGGTTATATCTTGAATTTGGTAAGTGATAGGAAAAAGCTGTTTATGTAAAAGTTCAATGGTATGATAATGTCTATTTTTCTGTGATTTCATTTTCTTCGTGAATGCAACGATGCACTTAAAAAAAGCAAATCCACTTTTTATTTAAATGGAATTGCATTTTTTTATTTACTTGTGTCAACTCCTTGAAACATTTTGCATAAAAAAGTACTATGGTACTATTAGAACTAATAAATGGAGGGACCTCGCGTCTACATATACAGTAAAAGCTGAATATATGGAACAGAGATAGGGAACCAGACGTTGCATATATCCAGCCGAGATGTCGAATCTCGAATTAGATGCGACGACCAGCCAAGCGTGAACGTAAAAAGGGACAGACAGTGGAGGT